CACCAATGTTTGAGAGCCACTAGCTTTTTCAGTACTAAAGACTGAAGAAAAGTCTATTATGAAATTGTTCTTCAGAAACCTGTGAAAGTCAAGAAACATATTCAAAATACTTATCTGTCAACTGTACCTTTACTTTATTAAAATGATTACCATGATAGTGTTAAATCAGTTTTCAAACCATTCTATAAAGGATGCACAGCTGCTGATAGATTATTTTGGTTTTTATTACTTTGAATCAAATCTCTCACAGGCTTTTGGTATATTGGTTTTTCTTTTTAAAATTCTTTCTAAATATTCTGAAGCCAAAATACCAGTAATGCATATTCAATTTTCTCAAACAATTTAAACCAAAATTCTGACTAAAAAAATACAGAACCTACCACTCTAATAAATTCAAACATCTCTATTATGGCAGAGTTCATCAGATTGTAGCGGGATCCATTGTTGAGAAATGCTTTCACTACTGGTTCAAACAAAAAACTTTTCATTATGTAGCGGTTATAAAACTCATCTTTTAATCCAATAATCTTTCTCTTAAAACGAAGGGCACCTGAAACACAGAGGCATTGCTGTTTAAATCACACACCACACTTCCATAGTTAGTCTTACCAAAAAACAAAATATAAAACCCCAAAACAAAAACAAAAAACCTGTTTAACACATATCAGTAATTCTTCGTGCACAGTGATGTTATCATTTCCAGAAATGTGAACCTGAAGATAAGGATTATGAAAGTGTTATCAAAGAAGTGTATTCTATAAGTAGTAGATGTCATCATAGAACACAAGTCTTAGAAAGCCAGAGAAAATTCCAGAAATAAACTAGTTACTAATGACCAAACTGTAATTTATATCAGAAATAAGAGTTTAGATGAATGAACCTGTCATTCTACTTAACGTGAAAAAATTCAACATACCCTTTTATATACACCTTAAAAACAATTCAAACTATTGTTTTATTAGGGCAATCCACTGTATAATTTGGTCTTCAATATTTATGGACACTCTTATGGGCATGAAAGTTCATGGGTTTATATTTATTTATTTGTGGATGTGCTTATAGAAATGCTATAAACACACAAAAATCTGCGTGGCCCAAAATTTGCCTTCCCGTAGTTTAGAAATAAATTTAGAGGATGATATTAAGAATATGTGGTCCTCTATATTGCAGCGAGTATGCTTTTTAATTTTTTTCCTAGTTTTTCTTTTTACAATTAATTAGGCTTTAACTTACGGATTAAAAGGTATATTTACATCTTGAGGTATGGGGAGTTACTGAAGTCACCATTCGTCAAGATCCAAATATACTCAGACAGCTAGACTTCAACAAAGCCCTCTTTACCTAAGTGGAATTATCAGTAAGTTAATGCCCCAGTTATTGTAAACAGTTCAAAAAAGCATACTCACTTCACGCAGTCACATCGTCTTCGGTTGGCAAGATTAAATATTGTGTTTGTATTTTGGTTTCTTTGGAGATCATAGAAGTGGCTCGTTAAATTGCCAATTTGTTATTAATCAAGTCCTTCATGAGCAGGTAGCCAGGCAACCATGCTGACACGGTTTCTGGGTGGGAAGGCAGAGGAGTAAAGCAGCTCAATTTTTCTTTAGTTGGCAGAAAAGAGGTCCACAAGTGAATGCCCAATTAGGTACAGTCGATTATAAACTGCCTTAACAATGCAACTTATTTAAGAGTGTATCTTTCTAAAGAAACACTCTGGGCAGGGAGTTTCAAAATATTATAGTTTATAGAATAATTGCATTTTATTTTTAAACTACTGAATATTTTTAAAAACATAAGCATGGTGAAATAAGACATTTTAAACAATGAGGCATCTTTCTGTGTGTGTGGTAAGTCAAAGCCTAACAGGGGTTTGTTTTCCCAAAACAATATTCTCAGTTTTTTTTTTTTTTAAACATTAATTTGACAAAAGAACTTAGTGAAAGCAGTTCCCTTTGTTAGGAATAAAAATCAATACTTTAGAGCTCATGCTAACAGGCCAAATTTCAAGCTTTTAGTAATAAAGGCAAGAGCAGTAGTATTTTAAGAATTATTACTCCTACTTCGCAGGCTTTGTGGAGACTTGTGTCCTACCATAACACGCACTCACAGACCCCTCTGGTCTGAATGCAGTTCCCGGGTAAGTGGAAAACTTCCTGGAATTCTGTAAGTCCATGGCATCATTACACTTCTTTACGAGCACTTCTATCCAGAAATTGCTGATGCAGATAGAAGGTAGTTCTAGTGGTCTTTCTGGTTTGGTCCCCATTTCCATTTGCCCTCATTTATTTTTATCAACAACTCTTGTGTTATTTCCACTCAATCCCATCCCTAAGAAACCTGCATCAAAAATACCCAACCGCTATTTGCTGGCGAATAAAAAGTTGCTTTTAAAATTTTACCAGTGAGTTCTATGAAGTCAAGTCACTCAAAGGAGAGGATGCTTTGGGGACAGACAAAGTTGGCATAACCACTGGATTGTCAATGTACAGTGCACTCTGCTTCCGCTCCCATTTCTAAGCTTTTTTAACATGCCAGAAACCTCTTGTACTTAGTTTCAAATATCTCTTTTAAAAAATTATTCATCTTTACCTTACCCAACATGAAATCTCACATAGTAAGTTTGAGACTTTTTGCCTTCTATGTCACTACTGACAGCTGAATAAAAACCTCTACAATAAAGCTTTCGTTTCATTCCTTTTTCAAATTTCCGTATGTTTAACAAAAACAAAAAAACCCCAACAACATAAAAGTATGAGCTAAAGGGTTGCAATGTAAGATCCAAGAATCTTGAAAACGCCAAGTAAATAGACTGATGGAACCGATATCTAACCCGTAAAGACTGAATTTAGAAAAGGATTGCTGGCCTCCCCTATAAAACTTGATTAGTTGTCTTTAAATACGACAAAGTATGCTAATTAAGTGGCAGCAGATATAAAAAATAAAAGGCTCCCTAAATCCCCAAACTGTTTACATTTAATGGCTCATTATCATTTGTACTTACATTTGTGCACCTAAACTTACGTATTTATAAAATCCTTCCTTAAAAATGCTATACGTGATATTTTATTTCAGTGTATACTTTTCTTGAAGAACCACAAATATCTTAAATTTCCCCAAATTTGTATTTAGTTTTTAGAAATCCTTGATAAAAACTCCTACTGTATACTATAAAGCCAGTCCTAAAGAACTTCTTCCTAATGACTGGCATCTTCTTTAAGAAGATACTCATGTTCACAACCCTGGGGAGAGAGGTACACTGAGAAGTCATTTGAGAAAGAGTTAGGTTTAACAACAGCCTGATTCAGTTAGGAATATATCAACAATAAGAAAACATAACGAAGATTCTATTAGTGTACTTAGTTTCTGACAATACAAACTTCTATTTACTTGTAATGATTCTCTCCATAGTTCTCACTGCATTATGAGAATATTTTTTATAATACTGCAAGCAAAATAAAATGAGGAATTTAACTAAAGAAAAGGCCTTCCCTTTGAGCTGTATATCCTGCCACTCTCCACTGGACTCACTGGTCCTACCTATAGCAAACCCACACATCACACTTTTTTTATACTAAACATCTTAACTGTAGTCAACCAAGAATGCCACACTCTCCAATGATGAAGATACAACTCAAAATTACCTACTTTGTGAAATTTTCCTGACTTGCCTCATTAAATTGTAATAAATTATTTCCACTGTGTTTCCAAACACACCTCGATATAATGATTGTGTTGTATTTTGATTTTCACAGGACCTTTTCCTCCTAATGAATTCTGATTCCCTTGAAAGCTGAATCCAGGTCTTAATCATCTTCATTTTTCTAATATATCAAGTACATATCATACTTAAATCTAACATGCCACTGATTAAAACTTTTATTTTTTTCTATTACTAAGGAAACAAAGTGATTATGACATGCCATAAATTTTAAGACTCACCTTGATTTCAGAGGTGATAAATGTATAAAACTGCACATTTTAGAATCAATGAAACATGGTAGGTAGGTGTTTAATATATTTGTTAAAACTGTTTAAACTTAATCATTTATTCAGTTTTTCCATTCTGTTCCATCTGCTCACAAACTCCCTTTCCTACACTTGAACAAAACCCTCTATGTTGACACAGAAGAATTCAAAGAATTATGAACTCCCTCTAAACTTGGCCTTGGTGCTCTCACTTTTTCTGTGACAGGCATATAAGGAAAATGAATATGATCTGTCAACCTGATAATAAAGTTTAATGAATGTAAGCAAACTCATTTCCGATACTATTTTAAAGATAAAATGTTGATAGAGTAAAACAGAAACACCCTTAAATTATAAAAATGTTTTATAATTTAATGAGTTTTAGCAAACTCATTTCCGATACTATTTTAAAGATAAAATGTTGATAGAGTAAAACAGAAACACCCTTAAATTATAAAAATGTTTTAAATGAGATATT